AAACTTCCTAATGCTGTGACCCTTTAATACAGTTCATCATGTTGTGGTGAACCCCCAACCAGAAAATTATTTTCATTGCTACTTCATAACTGTAATTTTGCTACTGTTATGAATCAGGCAACCCCTCCCACAGGTTGAGAACCACTGATCTAAGATGTCCTACTTGTTAGTCTGGTACTCTAGTAGTTCAAGAGTTTGGGCAGAATAAAGTATGCTGCTGTCCTCAGGGAGCTTATCCACTATGATCAGAAACTGGCAGGTGAACAGATCATTTAAATATAATATGGTCAATGATAAAGGCAAGGAACAGAAAATAAATGTATTAGAATTTACCCAAAAAAACCTTCCTGGAGGAAATGAAAATTTTGACCTGGGTGAGAAGTTACCTAGACAAGGACATTGGGGAAGAACCTGATAGGCAGAGATAAAAGACAGGAAGGGGAAAGAGAGTGGAAGAACATGGTGTTTGTTGAAACTACAAACAGACAAGATTATCTGAGTGCACAATGTTACCAAAAGAAACAAAGGAAAATTTAAAGAACACATACTAACAATAGAATAGAATAGAAATATTTAAGAGGTAAAATCAGAAGAGCTCAGCGATGAATACATTCATAAATGAGGGAGAAGGTGTTATCTATATGGACTCTCAAGTCTTTGGTGAAAGGAGAGCAGTATTGGAAGAGAATTGGAGTTGGATGATGACTGAGTCATCCTGAGGGGGAAGTTCTGGGGCACAGTGAAATGGTATATGCAATAAATCAAACCCAAATCCATTCCTGTTGAGTCAATTACAACTCCGAGCCACAATACAGGACAAACTAGAACTTCCCCATAGGTTTGCCAAGGCTATCATCATACAGAAGCAGATTTCTACATCTTACTTCCACAGTAACTGCTGCATTCCAACCACTGACTCTTCACTTATCCCTTGAGCACTTTAATAACTGCACCACTAAAATCCTTAGTGTCTGTTTTAACTACGTAGACTATTGAGTCTGAAGCTTACATTCGTCAACCTAGAGCTGCAGAGTGATGTGAAATAATCAGCACTGTGTAGACCGAGACTCACTCAAACATATAAGGAAGGAAAATAGTCAACATGAAAATCCTGCCAGCATTTGTTCATAAAGGAGTAACACCAAGGACCAGTTCCCAAAAGTATTACACATGCAATCAAAAGCATGAAATGTCATAAAGTGTGTCTGTCTGAAGAACATACGGTTTTCTAGAGTGATTTTTATATTTAATTTTACTGTAGAAACTTTCGATTTCACAAGCTTTATCTCTGTTTCAAAATTCAGCTTAAGGACAATCACCTCTACCTTTACAAATAAAGGTCAAATGCAATGCCACTAAACAGTGTTGTTGTTGTTGTGAGGTGCCAACTAGTCCATTCTGACCCATAGTGACCTTGTGCACAACAGAAAGAAACACTGCCCAGCCCTGCACCATCCTCACAATTATCCCCATACCTGTATGAAACAGTATAGGTAGATTAATGATGAATACTCAGCCAGATTTGAAGGGACCACTTAAAGAAGAATAGTCACTGGTTAGCGCTTGGCTAAGTGTTAATTTGTGTAATGGGACAACAATATGCCACAAAAGGCAGATGAACAAAAAAGGATGGAAGAAAGGCAAAACATTAGAACATTTGCAATCTTTAAGGCAACAGAGACAAATACTGTTTCCACAATCCTACAATAGCGGTGATTTGTGATTAGATGCTTCGATAGAACCCCAGACTGAATAGGTGTGGGAATATTCCTTCAAGTACATACAGATTTGATAAAATATATACACATTTGACAAAGGATATTTGTACATGTGCATTTACCCTTTGTGGTAGTCACCTAATCTGGTGTCAATTTAAATATTAAGAGTGTAGGGGTGGAGTCTAGGTTGTCAATCTGGAGATAGCCAATGAGACTTCTGTGTGGGCATGGCCTTCTCCTGAGAATTCTGGGAAATCTGGTAATTCCTTCTTGGAGGCAGGAGAGATACTCTCTCTCTACCACTCCCTGAGAGACATTGCAGCTGACTAGACCTCTGAAGCCAGAGAAGCCAGAGAGACCCCTGCCAGCACCGAGATGCTTACAAGCCACTGGACCCAGAGACTTTCTACTCACTGGCTTGTGATCATCCTGCATTTGGCTGCATTGCATGTGTTTCAGGAGTCTGAAAAGGACTTTATAAATTGGTACTGGACATATAGGCTAATATCAGATTTATGGCCTTGGACTGGACTGGGCTGGGATATTTTCTTCATGTACAATTGCTCTTATATATAAATCTCTTTCTTATACACATGTGTGTCCATGGATTTGTTTCTCTAGTCTACCCAGACTAACACACCCTTCCTGCAAATATAGTGATGAATCATGGTAGAGCATACATGGGACAAATTTAAGAAAACTTCTTAGACAATAACCAAAGACCTTGAGATAATGAGTTGCTGGCGGGGGGTGGGGGGGCATCAGCAACATCAGGGGTCCTCAAACTACGGCCCGCTGTGGCCACATACAGCCCACCGGGTGTTTTCCTCTCTTTTGTTTTATTACTTCAAAATAAGATATGTGCAGTGTGCACAGGAATTTGTTCATAGTTTTTTTTAACTATAGTCCCGCCCTCCAACGGGTCTGAGGGACAGTGAACTGGCCCCGTTTAAAAAGTTTGAGGACCCCTGAGTAACATAGTCAAATGGTAGAACATAAGTCACAAAGACAATGTTTTACATCCTATTTTGGTGAATAGAAACTAGGGTATTAAAAGCTCAGGAGCGGGTATCTACAGAGGAACGATCGTTCTCTCCCCATCTGGAGGAAAAAAGAATGATGAAAACTGAAAGACATGGAAACAATTAGTCCAATAGATTAAGGGACCACACCAAGGCCTTCATGACCTTAAGACTGGAATTAGATGATGCCTGCATACCACACCAATTGCTCTGAAAAGGATCCCATCATAAGGTGCTGGGTAGAGTAGGGGAAAAGATGTAGAAAAAAATCCCAAATCCTAACATCCCAAATGTTCCATCTCTATGCAAGACAATGGGTCAAGATGAAAAGGAAGGACCAGGTTTCTTGGCTGGATAGAGAGCGATGGAAGCTCCAAGCTATGACTATCGTTGCCCTTCCGGTCTGGAACTGAAGTCACCCCCATATTAGATTAAACAATCTTTTCAATAAATGCCCTTACCCAAGGGCATTGACATAGCAGTACAAAGGAGTTGTGTAGCATTGTCAAAGCAGGACAGAGGCCAAGAGAATGTGTGGTAAGAGGCCAAGGGCCGGCGCGAGATGTGCCGATTGTACCTACCTGACCTGAAGAACTGTTCCTGAACATTTATGAGGCTACCTTTGAAGTTCCATAATAAACCCCCTTCCACACTCCTAAGTATTGTGTGCATGTGGCAATTAATTATGGAATCCACCAGAAAAGTAGAGTGTTGTGAGAGAGATGGCTTTGATGTTAGAATTGGTCAAGAACGTTGGAGGTGGAATCATGTCTAACCTCTGCTTCAGGAGAATTGGCTTTGACCTGATTTTGAGTTTTATACTCCTTCCCCATGGTGAGATGAGGTCAGATGCTGTCCTTATGCTATTTTCTTACCTGAAGGATATTCAAATACTTAGAATAGTAAACTGCGAATCAGTATTGGAAAAGATTCGTGAAAATATTTGTAGAACAGATACCATTCCAATGTAAAAGCTGATAATCCCTAGTCCAAAATTAAACATATGCACTCTGAAAAAACATTTTCTTTTTTCTTTTCTTTTTATATATTTTTTTATTAAGGGCTCATACAACTCTTATCACAATCCATACATACATCAATTGTGCAAAGCACATTTGTACATTCATTGCCCTCATCATTCTCAAAACCTTTGCTCTCCACTTAAGCCCCTGGCATCAGGTCCTTGTTTTTTCCCCCTCCTTCCCCACTCCCACCTCCCTCATGAAGCCTTGATAATTTATAAATTATTATTTTTTTATATCTTGCCCTGTACGACATCTCACTTCACCCACTTTTCTGTTGTCTGTCCCCCAGGGAGGAGGTCACATGTAGATCCTTGTAATCGGTTCCCCCTTTCCAACCCACTCTCCCTCTACGCTCCCAGTATCGCCACTCACACCACTGGTCCTGAAGGGATCATCCACCCTGGATTCCCTGTGTTTCCAGTTCCTATCTGTACCAGTGTACATCCTCTGGTCTAGCCAGACTTGCAAGGTAGAACTCGGATCATGATAGTGGTGGCCGGGGTGGGGGGAAGCATTTAGGAACTAGAGGAAAGTTGTATTTTTCATCGTTGCTACATCGCACCCTGACTGACACATTTTCAAAGGTGTAGCAAACTCGATGGCCAGCAAAACCTGGCCTGAACTAAGATAAGCCTATTTAGAGTCTTTATTTTTCCTATGCAGTAGGAATATTTATAGAAAAATCAAACAACAACAAAGCTGTGGAAATAAGAATGAACTTATGGCTTTTTTTCCCTTTTTCAAAAGATTTTTTAAAATTGGTTCACATTTTTTAAGGAAGAAGCAATATAGCAATAATTCCCAGTATTTAAACGCGCTTTTAATATTTTTATTAGACCACTAAAAGTACACGACTCTCAAATCAAACTAGTATGATTTTTTGAAGTAGAAAACACAAGTGAATGCCATACATATGTATATTAAGTAAAAAAAGGGACAACTACCTATTCCTACATTCTGGTAATTAAAACCTGATCAACAGATGAATTTTGTATCTCGGCAAAATACAGCAATACAGATTAGACAGTAATTCACATTTCACATCCTCTATCCCCAAAATACAATTTTGCTTGAGTGAAAATTTCACGCGAAATAATTATGCTTAATTTTTCTCACCAAAACAAGCAAGTATATCTGTTAATATTAAAAGTATGAGAATAAGTATAAAGTGAAGTTTACTCAAGCCTTATATTTGCAACAAAAAGGAAAAGGAAAGATGCTGTCAGGAAGCCTACCTGTGGCAGGGCTGAATTGAGCTGCCTCTGAAGCGAATCCCTGTCATAGATGACATCCTGAAGCCTCTGCTGGGCAAGGGAGAGGCTTTCCTGGGTCTCCCGAAGGGTGTCTAGAAGTCGATCCCGTTCATCTAGCATATTTACCATCAACTGCTCGAAGTGGGAGTCCGAGTCCGAGCCACTGCTTTGGGACCCCCTTTGGCTCATTGGGGTGTCCTCATTAATCGTGGGCATCACTTCACACATCATTGCTTAAAGAAAAGAGAGAACGCCCTTAGGAAAGAAATCATTTTCAATAAGGTCACTTGCCCCTCCACTCACTAAACTCAGAAACTTCTAAGCCACCTCCTGGTCTCTTTTCCTGCTCCCTGGCCCGCCAACTCTAAGCAAGCCAAGTTCTGAACACCAACCTATGCGTGTTCTCTTCCTTTGGACCATCCGTGTATCCTCTGCTTATAATTTGATTTCACCTTCAAAAAGTTTTCTTTTTTCATGATTTTCCTACTTCAACCAATTTACCTAAAAGTTTGTTTTACATTGTTAGTCAATCATCTATCTTTCCCTGCAAGTTTACAAATCCTCATAGCCTTATTTGGTATTTAATGTCCAAGTAAATATGTTTTTATTGGTGTCTGTAATTGAATGAATTATTGATCACTCATTTATAAAATCCTCAATTTATTCAATATTTACTTCATATAATAGTTAATTTTTACTTTCTTATTTTATTTCCTACCAACCATTTTAAATCTTCTTGACATTAGAACTCCTATTTTTTTTTTTACTTTTAAATGCTCCCCTTGTGAATTCCTATAGTAGTATATCAAAGTAGCTAAGTGAGTCTGACAGAATTAGATGTAAATTTAATCAAATGTAGACCAAGGTATATGCATTTGTTTAGATTATTACACTAGTAATTACACCTAATGTTCCTTTGTTTTCTGTTAGCTGCATTGTCTGTTTTCCCTCCAAACAATACCAACACTTACAAATATTCCATAAAACAGATGCCATAAATTAAGTTAGCTAATGTAATAACTTCACATCTTAACTGCTAATCACAAGCTTCCAGTCATGGAACGAATGAACTGCTCAAAATCTTTCATAATATTATTAATTTGACTTGAAATAGACAATGCAGATATAACATGTAATGGAATTTTAAAAATAAAAAATTATCTTATTTTTATTTTGTTATATGTTTTTTAAAACTCAAACCTATCTCAATTTCCATTGTTTTACTGAAAGCAAGAGCTATTAATTAGAGGGCTTGGCTTTGCAGACGGCTGATGTGGAAAAAGACTGGTTTAGCAGTTGATCCTGGAGTGGTGTTTTTTGCTTTACAATTCAAGGTCAGCTCATTTTTCTACCTACATATTCCTGTCCCTGGGGAAAATATTTACAGTGATATTTTCAAATAAAATATCAAGATTTAACAGCTCAACAGTTAATTATTTTATGTGATTCTTCATCTTATAAATTGGGTTATTGAGGGGGAAAATTCAATCATCTGGGGATCATTTGACCAGGACTCACTGAAAACTTGGAGAAACTTTTTAAATGATAAAAAGGTAGTATTGTGTGACTGATAGCTTAGGGGAAAAAAATTTTGAGGTAAAGGAATGAATTCTTATAATAATTCAAAAAACTATTTGAATCACCACACAAAACACTAAATGACTTGAAAGCAGGAATTTAGTTTAATTTCTTATTTATCCGAATATCCATACACAAAGACAGGCACATACACATTTTCTACCATTGTTAACCACTTACTGTATGAATATATAGCATCTTGAGGGTATTTTTCTGATTTTGATTTTCATTCAAAGACTAATACGTACAAAGAGAGGAAAAGAAATACTTCCTTCTCTTTACATTAGGCCAAAATGAATAGAAAATTCTAAAAGTTCTGAAACCTTTGAATACTGAAAATGACTAGTTCACATGCCATGCATGAAGCATACATCCTAACAACTGTGTTCTCTTTAATTACTAGAACCAATGTGTTCCTTTTTCACTTTTAAAATGCTAACTATCTACTAGGACAGGGGATGGTAACACTGTGACAAAGTATGCCAAGAGACATGAAAGGCTTAAATTTTACTCATATGTTAAAGGATCTCCTCTTTAGAGTAAATTATTAACTCATCTCTACTCAGAAAACAACCACCACCACTTTAAATTTCAAGTAAAAACATCATAGTGACTACCTCAAGTGCCCTTGGAACATACTTTCCTAATTCTAATAATGCCTGTCATCACCATGTGACATTAGACAGTCACAGGCTTTAGGCTCTTAGGTCATATAATAGGTTGTCTTTGATTCAATCATTTAAGAGATGACAGGATGAGAACCAGCACAGGAAGGTGGGGAGTCCAGCAAGTCTATATTCAAAGATGTTCATCTGAACCCTTGCTCCTGAGTTCCACCTGAGGCATTTGACCCAAGGCAAGTCACATCACCTCTCCGAACTTTAATTTTCAAATCTATAGAGATAATAACACATAATTGTTTTCTTGGGAAAAAATGTATTGTAATGATCCAGTTATATACGTGAATGAGAACTGCAGTAAAAATATAAAATACTGTCATATGTGCAAGTATTTCTTTCTACTATACACTCAGCAACATTCATCTTGACAGGGGAAAAAACAACCTTATGACTCAGTCTGTTTCCATGACTAGATGTTTAATTCTACTGAGCATTTCTGAATTCTCCAAACTCGAGTTAAGCAAAAACTCAACTATGCAAAAGTTACTTAGGAAATAAAATAAATGCGCCATGCATTGCCCCCATAAACATTCATCCCAGATGATTAATCTAAAGTCTTCCCATTAAAATTAGAAGACCCCCAAAAAAGTCTACACAAAATTAAGGTCACTTTTATTAACTAGCTTAGTTCCTTACAGTAGATTTCAGATTCTGTCCAATATAAATGTAAAATATTTAGGTAATTTTAAAAATACCGATTGATCTACTAGTGCACATTTTAGATGGTAGAACCATTTGTTAAAATGTACATTCAATGTAAGAGTTAAACATCTTCTTATAGAATAATAGCACATGCAACAATATGGTCCAGAAGCCTCTGTCATTTAATGTCCTCACATGTTTCACCCAAATATACCACTTTCAACTTTTGCATACATTTTAATAGTAAAAATTGCATTGCAATTCCTAAAAAACTAGGAAGGGGCAGACTACCAGTTTGCTTTAGTATCTGCCCTTTTATCCCTCTCTCTCCAAAGTCATTGGGATATAGGAACTGCTATCCTCATCTGGATACTGATCCCGTATTTCATAAATGACTGACAGTGTCAACACCTAGTTATAGACATTATTTATTTGGTTGTGAGAGAATGAAATGGAAATAAATGTGGTTGGTTGAATTAGCTCAGGGCTTAAATTTAGCTTGAAGCATTATACCAGGAAAGCCAGCTCCCTTATTCTTAGCACATAACCTTGACTGTCTTCTAAATCCCTCAGATTTCAAAATAAAACTTTCGAATGCCTCCTGGAGCCATTACCCCAGGGATTTCCAATGTGTTCCTTGGCAATATGTGACTTAAAGGCACTACCTATTTAGGTATGACTGAGCTACCAAAGGTTTTGTTTTGTTTCAATTTCTGTCATTGGATCACTTTAATCAAACTGATCCCTAAGATTCAGCCCCAAATCGAAGCAAAGATGCAATGATTCTCTGCAGTTTCTCCTACTAGGATTTACTCTTAAGAACCACCTGACCTGCACCTCAGTTAAACCACAAGGAGTATTCAGCAAGAGAAATCCTAGCCATTGTGTGATTTCACTACATGGACAGACCTCTCTGAAAACCGTAGTCTCCTAGAAGCAAAATTCTCAGCCCGAAATCGACACTTTCTTTACCCCATGGCATTTACATATGGCCAAAGAATCAGCTCACCCTCCACTGCTGGACAGCCACACATCTCGCAGCCACACCCCCCATCACCACCCAGAAGTTGACTTCATAATTTCCACACTCAAATTCTTCAACCTGCCCACCCGAGAGAGCCAAGGAAGAAGCAGACAGAGAAAAGGGTGATGGAGAAATGGGAAAAAGCAATGGGAGTGGGCAGCAAAAGGTACCTAAGGGTAATTGGCCAGGAGGAATTTGCATCTCAGCTTCCCTGGGGGCGGGGTGGGGCCGGAGGGTGGAAAAAATATATAAATAACCTAGAAGAGAACCCCATGGAACTCGTGCACAGTGTCTGTACCTAATGTCTGGGGTTTTTTCAGGTCCTGCTTCTTCAACCGCTCGGTGACCACCGCAGCCTCTGGCTTGAAGGGAGGGGAGGCTCAGGGCCGACACACCTGGACCATTGCCCTAGCAACGCGGGCAGGAAGGCGGCGGAGAGACGCGCGGGCCCCGGCGCCCTCCCGGAACGTGCCCCGGCTCGGCGGCGTGACAGCCACTCGGCATCTTCCCGCAGCGGCTCCGTCAGCAGCCCAAAGGCGAAGAGTCCATCGGAAAAATGGCATATTACAAATTTCGCTTTGGGAAGCCGAGCTCGGTTCAAACCATTCTCCGAGCGGGGAGAGGGGGAGGCGGCTCTTAAAGCAGCAGCGGCCCCTTTCCGCCAGCCTCCGGCGAGAGCGCCGAGCCGGGGCGCCGAGTCGGCAACTCCGGGGCCACTTTCGGGAACTTGACCCAACGGCGCCGGCCCCTCTCCGAGCGACCGAGGGTGCCCCGAGCACGGTCTCCGCCCCAGCCCCTCCGGAGTGGAAGGCTCGCGCCCGGAGCTGGGCGGCTGAGGGGGGCGAGTCCCCGGGGCAGGGGCGAGGGGCTGGTCCCCCGGGGCCCCAAGGTTAAGTCCGTGCTGGCCTGGCCCCTGGCACTGGCGGGAGGGGCTCCGGAAGGGCAGCCCGCCGGGCAGCCCCACGCACCCAGCGCCCCAGCCGGGGCGCGCGCTCGCCCGCCCGCGGGGCGGAGGGAACCAACCTGCGGGGAGCCGGCGCGCGGCTCGGGCAGCTCCCCCGGGCGGCCGCCGCCCCCGCCCTCCCGGGCAGCCGCGCCTCCTCTTCCTCGGCAGCCGGGCTTCCCCTGGAAGCTGCTGCAGTGGTTTCCACCGACCCTTAAATAAATTCTGAAGTAATCACGTCCGTGCTCGCCTCCTCACGCACACGCGCCCGCACACACGCGGCGCCCGCGAAGCCGCTCCCGGGCGGTGGGAGCTCGAGCGGGTCCCTGCGCCCCCGGGCAGGCTCGGGCGGGCGCCAGGAGGCGCGGGGAGCCCCTTCCTCCACCGGGATCTCTGCCGAAAACGGCGCCGTCCTCGCCGCTGGGGATGGGAAGGGGCTTGGGCACCTCCTGGCACGCTGGCCTGGGATGCTTGTCTTGCTTTAAGCAGCTTCCCTCGTCCTGGACCAGAGCAGAGTCGTTACGGTCTCGGGGACCTTGGTCAGTCTAGGGTGTGGCAGCATCTGTCACTTCGGATTGTCTCTGGCAATCTTCTTTCCGGGCTTGGGCGATGGGGATTGTCCGCCTGCAATAACCAATCGCTGTCCTGGTGAATTCGCCAAGGAGGGCTCCTCTCCTATGGGCTTCGCAATTCCTCCTCCTGCTACACACCCATTTACCTACTCGCCTTTCTGTGGTCCATTCATACCGACCCTTAAGGAAGACACATCCACTGTGTGCTAAGCCGAAAAGAAACCGTCCCGTGAGCCTGTGTCTGCTACCCTGCTTTGAGTAAAAATGACAGGAATGAAATCCTTCAAAGAAGGCTTACACATTGAGTCTAATCATGTATGAGCGAGTACCAGTGTCCTTTAGAAATGCACGGGCTTTTTTAACTTTTACGTTTATGTAAAGCAAATAGTTTGAAGTTATCTAAATAAATAACACTCAAATGCCAGCTCGCTTGAATAAAATACACTATTCAAGAAACGGTCTCTCTTTCTGGAGTAGCGTTTAGTTCATTTAGTGACCTAATAATGGGCGTGTGAGGTCCAGCTCATGTTCTTGACCTCTTCTTGACTACCATTCAAATCCTGTTCTCCCCCCACCCCCCAAATCCTTTGACTGTCCAGATGAGTACAGGGATAATATTAAGATGCATTAAATGTCAACTGGAGCAAGCCCTGGCTTTTCAAGGCCCTTGGTAAGTGGTTACACTGGAGTGGACCCTGAAATGCTCCATTTCTAGCAGCTCCCAGAGGCCATGATGCTTCAAGTTAAAATGCCTAGATCACCCAATCAACCTCCTATTTGACATAGTTTAAATATCGTTAACAACAACAAATTTATGATCTCACAATGTAACACCGCCCACTTTCAGACATACCTAATACGGTAATGGTATCGTCATATTCATGATATATTGAAACCTTACCAACTCTGGAATTCCCAGATGACATAAAGTAGCATTTATAAAGAGGTCTTATAATTTTAAAGACAGTTTGTCTATCTCCAGAAAGATTTTTTTGTAATTAAAACCTTGTTCTGTTTTTCTTGGCAATCACTATAGCTTAAGTACAGCCTCGAATATTCTCTTAGATCTTGGTTCGCCCAAGTCCTATTCACGTATTAAATGAAAATATAAATTTCAAGTAAATTCACCACGTTCACTTGGCAACCCCACAGTTGATATCCCCGAAAGGAAAGATTTGATAATGGAAAGAAAGAAATCAGACTTAATACTCGAGGAAAGATATAGTCTTACAGCGGCCATTCTCAGCTAAGAAAGTACACATGCTCACCCCTACCACAACTGCAAGTAACATAATGAACATTTCCAATTACAAATGAGAAAGGAATTTTTAAGAAGCAACTTTGCATAAGGTATTAGGTAAGCCAATTCATAGAAGAGAAGACGGGTCTACTACAAGAGTTCCTTTAGTTAGGTCGTTTTCAAATTTAGCATGCAACAGAATCACTTGAAAATGTGTTAATACACAGAATGAGGAGCTTTATGATCAGTGTTTCTGATTCAGTAGACCTATTGTAAGAGTCAAGTTTTGGAATCCCTAATAATTTTCCAGTCACTGCTGCTGCTGCTGCTGTTACCTGAGGGATTCTACTTTGACAATGGAAAAAATCTGGAACAAAAGAAGTCTTGACAAGACAAAAACAACAACAACAAAGAAAACGGATCTATGCTTTGCTTCAAGGCAGAGTCTTATACAGACACACAACACATTTCTGTGCTGTAGCTAGCTTCTGCTCCTGTTTCTTTTGTGGTCAAAGATCAATAATTAAAATGAGAAAAAATTAAAAGAGAAATGGACTTTAATGTCTTTAGTGAAAAATAAGTTCACCTAAAAAATGATTAAAATAAAAAATACTTAGTAGGCAGATGGCTCACATTCACCGATATCAAAATATACTACACACCTACTATAATCAAACAGCCTGATACTTATGGTTCAATGATATGTAAATGAGTGCAATAGTATTGCTAGTCCAGAAATAAATCCATCCGTGTATTAACAACTGAATTTTGACTGGACTTTAAAGTCCATTTAATGAGGAAGAAACAGTCTGTTTAATAAATGGTATTGGCAAAATTGGATATCCACCTGGGGAAAAAAACTGAAAAAGGAGTCATACTTCATATTATATGCAAAAATTAACTCAAAATGGACCAAAAACTAAAATGCTAAATTTAGCACTATACAGTTCCTGGAAAAAATGTACACATGAAAATAAAACACTTGAGTAAAAAGACAGCCAACAAACTGGAAAGAAAATATTTTGAAATGGTATATCTGATGAGTTTAATCTCTACTACATGGAACAGCTACATTATAAAAAAACAACTCAATTAAAAAATGGGCAAAGCACATAAGCAGACATTTCACAAGGTAGGACATTAAAGTGCAAAACTATATATGAAAAGACGCTCATGCTAATCTGCCATTCCAAACCAAACCAAATTCACTGACATTGAATACATTAGAACTCATAATAAAACTATAGGCGAGAGTAGAGTTGCCACATAGGAGTTATAAAGCTTCAAGTGTTTACATAAAGACACTGCCAGATAAGTGTCCTGTGGAGTGACTCAAGGGCTTAAACCCCTGTTCTTTTGGTTAGCAGCGAATTGCTTTAGCCACTATGCCACCAGAATAAAAAAACAAACACTCTGCCATCAAGCAAATGCCAACTCATAGTGACTGTGGCAGTTACATAATCTCCTGTCAGCTTGCGAAGTGGTGAAGTCTAACCTGTCAATCAGGTCGCAGCTTGATGACCTCATTTGGAGGTGCGAAGGAGATACATAGCTGACCGTAGGCCAGATATACACAGACTCTCTGCTTGTCTTCCTGCTGACAAGCCACATGGAGAGCCCTGGCGGAACCAGAGCCCTGGAGCTGGAAGAGCCACATGGAGACCCACGCCAGAGCTGAGTTGCTTCTACGGACACTGCATCCCCACTGGCCTGTGAACTTCCTGCCTCCAGCATCATTGCATGTGTTGCATGTGGGCTAATATTAGACTATGGACTTGATCTGGACTGGGGTGGGATATTTTCTTCATATACAATTGCTCTTTTATATAAAACTCTTTCTTATACACATGAGTGTCTATGAATTGGTTTCTCTAGTCAACCCAGACTAATACAGTGACCCTATAGGGCAGGGTAGAACTGCCCCTGTGGGTTTCTGGGACTCTTCAAGAATGGAATGCCTTTCTCCCATGGAAGGGATGGGGGATTAGAACTGTTGGCCCTGTGCTTAGAATCCCAATGGGTCACCACCACTAAGCCACCAGGATATTCTAATTAGCCTTTGTTGTTCTTCTTCTTGTTGTTGTTATTGTCAGGTGCCATCCAGTCAGTAGCCACTCACAGCAACTCTATGTACAAGAGAAAGAAATGTTGCCCCGTGTGCCATCCTCACAATTGTTCCCATGCTTGAACCCATTATTGCAGCCACTCTGTCAATCCATCTTGGTGAGGGCCTTCCTCCTTTTTGCTACTCTTCTATTTTACCAAACCTGATGTTCTTCTCTAGGGACTGGTCTCTCCTGACAACTTGTCCAAAGTATATGAGACAAAGTCTCCCAATCCTTGCCTCTCAGGAACATTCTGGCTATTCATCTTCCAAGACAGATTTGTTTGTTTTTTGGTAGACCATGGTACTTTTGATATTCTTTGTCAGCACTACAATTCAAATATTTCTATTCTTCTTAAGTCTTCTTTATTCAATGTCCAACTTTCACATGCATATGAGGCCATAGATAATACCATGGCTTTGGTAATGCACATCTTAATCCTCAACATTTTCAAAAGATACTGTGCAGTAGATTTAACAAATGTAAAGCATTGTTTAATCTCTTGACTGCTACTTCCATGAGCATTGAATGTGGATCTAAGCCAGGCAAAACCCTTAATAATTTCAGTTATTTTTCTCCATTTATCATGATGTTTTCTATTGCTTCAGTTGTGGGAATTTGGTTTTCTTTACATTTAGTTGTAATACATACTG